TACCAAAAACTAAGCTTTACCCAGAGTTCTCCCTGTCAGAGTTCACTGAGCACTGCCTGGAAAGCAGCCCTGCCCTTAGTAGTACAGTGACTGATCTTAGCTAAGCAATGAATGATAACTCAGTTTTGCTTTTGGGGGGGTACAAACATCACGGCAGGGATGTGACCTTCAAGCGAGTGAGATAATGCTGAGTTTTTCAAAAACCTCTTCAATTATTCATAACTCTTTGCTCTCAAACATTTTCTCACCAGATTGCTTTCCCTTCTTTCACTCTGTTAGTCCTAGGTAACTAAGCTCACTTAAAGCCACTTTTATGAACTTGTATTATTCATCAGAAGACATCCCCATCCACGTCCTAATGCTGCTGAACGCAGCCTCAGTGCAATTACATGACAAACACCTTAGTATATACACATTTGGCAAAGCAGAGGCCACATGCTCAGATGTGTGAACAAATGTACACTCTCCAACACACAGATAATTAGGTGCATTCCTAAATATTATGCGTGTACCACACATTGATTGTTTTATGCAATTTGTCAGGGGAATATAGAGCTATTATGCCTTGATACTCTAAGGCCATGGCTATACAGAGAAACACATGCATGCACATATTTCTTCATCCGGAATACACAAGTGCTTCACTGTCATGCAGGTGTCACCTTTTCACTGTGCTCTGATGCTTTTTATTTTGAGCTTACTTTGAGCTTTAGGAAATGTATTGTCATTCTCTAGCACACAGAAAGCCATCATTTCTTTTAAGCTGTCACCATGTTTGATGGTAAGCTGCTATTCCTGTGGTATTCCAAGAGCTCACCAAGAAGCCCAACAACGTTAAAGATACTCCTTGGATTTTCCGCTGATGTATTTTCTGTTTGCGAAACACTTACCGCACAGACTGTGGAAAATGAAAACCTGAATGTTTGACCCCTACAGTGAGGGGATCCAGTGGCTCTGTGCACTGTACTTGTACTGTGGGGAGCATTTTGCTGTTGTGGTTTTGATCCACTTGTTCATTTAGAAAGAAGGGTCACTGCAAATCAGTTCAAAGTTCTGAGTTATTACCTTTATCCTATGAGGAAACATTCCAGGATGACGGCGCTCCCACCCATAGGGCACGAGGGGTCACTGAATGATTTGGTGAGTATGAAAATGACATGAATCAGATGCTGTGGCCTTCAACCCAGCTGAACACCTATGGGAGATGTTGGAGCAACATGTTAGGCAGCGTCTCCACCACTATCATCAAAACACCACATGAGGGCATATCTTCTGGAAGAAGATTGTTCATCCTCCAGTAGAGTTCAGAGACTTGGCGAGTCAATGCCAAGGTGGTACATGGTGGCCCAGCGCCTTACTAAGACACTTTGTTAGCTGTTTCCTTTCATTTGTCACATGTCAATATTCAGCATTTATGGCTATTGCTGTTCATAATAACTACACATTTATTTGAGACAAACCAAAAACAATAATCACTTTCTGTCATTTTCTTTCCAGTGAAACTCAAACATACACAAAAGCATCCATTTTTGCTTTGCATGTTTTGTTACTGTAATATGTGGATATGAACACACTCTCCTGTGAGTGGGACAGGGAGCACTGCTGATGCTTTGTTTATGCAGATCTGATGGCATAGGTCAATTTTGAAATTCATCTTAGCAGAAAATTGTCCCTGTGTTTCAGTCCCATCTGACCACATCTAAATGCTAATATACATAAAGCGCAACAAATGATTTGTAGTTTCGCTTTAGTTGGTGGAGGAGCACACACTGACCTCTTCAAAATCACAAAGATCACTTTTGCTGGAATTTGTGTCACTTTGAAAAAAAAAAACATTTACCTTGTATAAAAATGTTAAAGTAACACATACAGTCACAGTACTCTGTTTTAAAGGGGTACGAATAATTAATATTTCATGCACACAAGGTCGCACAAATCTGTAGCAAATGTATAAGATGATTCCATTTCAATTGAATAAACAGGAGCAAAATTAGCTTTGTAATTTCAGGTAATGCTCTATGCTGCACTATAAACCTTGTCACCAAAATTTAAGCCGAATGAACTATATATATATTATATAGAAACTAAAAGCTACATTGCTGCTAAAATCTATCTTTTTCAGTATTTCATTCTGAAAGCAGGAAAGTACACCTTCCTAGAGCATGTGTCAGGTCTGGCTATAAGAGTAAGATTTATGAAACAGACCTGCTCCTTGCATCCCACTCTCACACAGCACACTGCCTTTCTCACATAGCCACATTAATTTCAGCCCACAGATTTTCCTCTGAACAGAAAGATGCTCTCTCTGTGGCTGTTTTCAAGCAGCCCATGTTTGTCCAGGGCACTGATTGCCAGCTGAGGGGATCCCTGTCGCAATACTGTCCATCCAATAGATCAAATGACTCTGATCTACTGGATCGCTCACACACACACACACACACACACACACACACACACGTGGGCACTCTGTCAGTCAGCCCTGGGTCCTTCTGCATCTAACGTTTGACATAATAAGCTTCATCGCTGCTATGGTTCCTGTGATCATGACAATGATAATACCAATGGTAATATGGTTTTATGAGGCCTCTCATCCTCCCATCTGCTCCTTTCTCCTCCCCAGCTCTGGCTGCCCAGGACTCCATCTGATCACCCTCCCCCCACCATCTGGCTTCTTCTGCTAATCCCTCCTTCATTCTCCCTGTTGCTCCCTGTTAACCCTCTATCCCCCCCTCTGTTCCATAAAATAAATTAAAAAATTAACAAAAACAAAAACGCATCTTGATAGGAATTTGCAATTGTGTTGCTGTCTTTTAATTAATCATTGATATGTGTTTACTGGATGTTTTCTGTGGATGGATGGATAGATAGATAGACAGATTCTCCTTCTGTTTCAGGGAGTAAGCAGCATGTGGTAGGACTAACAACATGACCCACTGCCATTTCTGGACAGAAATATGGGTCAGTGATTTTCATTTCTGACAAAGTTTTTAAAATGTTCTCAAGGTTTAGTTCATTTTTTATGTATAAAACAATTAAAATGCACATTATTTCCTCATAGGCAAATTATCCATTTAGATTATACTGTAGTTACTTTTTACAATATCCACAGTTATTAAACGCTGCCTTCTGACAAACAATAAAATGATAGAGGACCTTGAATCAGTGAAATCAAAAGGGCCCATTTCATACTGAGAATAATGCTTCTGTTTTTCGCTCACCACTGCACACAAACAACACTTGTCTCATGTTTTCTCCTTTTCTTCAAGTCCATGTTTTACACAACCTGCTTTTGTTTGGAAATGTATTTACTGCAGCAGCAACAATTCAGCTGCGGCATCAGATGTCTTGAGGAGCAGCTTGCCGGTGGGTTGCTGCTATAGATGGCAAGCCACGTATAGAATGACTTCATTAAGCCCTGAGTAGTCCACCAAGTTACAGCATGCAAAAGTTCATTAGTATCTGTAATGAGAGTGGAAATACACATCCAGCAGTATTGATGTGTGGAGTGATTGGTGGTCCCATCAGAGAGTAAGTGGAGCATCTCAAAGTGACAGCAGAGACTGCTGCAGGTTGCAGAGGCATTTTCCTGCAGGGTGGGCTGAACTAGAGTAAGAAACAAGTCAACACAGATCCTTGTCTCTACTGTCTGCAGTAAGAAAAACGTTTTTGCAAGTAGAGCTACTATATGTAATTCATCTACATATTTAAGTCCCCAGTGACTATAGCTGCAATTTTGTCCCCATTTTTTGCTTGTTTTAAATAAGGACCTAAGAACAGTCAGAAAACATTTGGTATCAACATGGATCATGTCAGATCATGAAACTGTTGTTTTCAAAATGCAGTGGTTCCTTTTTATGTTTCTCTTGGTTTAATGTATTGATTAAATGTATCCTTGAATAATCTTGTAGCCTGGTTCCTTTTGTAAAGTCTGTTTGTTAGTCAAACTGCTATCACAACAGTCTCACAGTAAGCTCCACAAACAAATTCCATATGACTAAAAATACTTAAGCCAATTAAAGTGTTTGCCAAATACTGTAGATGTTCTTTTTCCATCTTTCATGTGAGATACCAGTAAATACTTTAAATGCTTGTCATCTATGTGCATGCAGCCAACATGAACCTGATCAACGTGCCACATGAATCACACATTAGTATGTATTAGAGATGAGATAAATAGAGTAGGCAAAGACGGATTAAAAGGGCAAAAGAGTTTCCATTCAATTTGAATGATAATGAGAGCTAATAGATTTGGTCAGAGTTTAAAAACTGAACAGAAACATTTGTCTGTGGAGGCAGGTCCATCAAAAGGCCAGTGAGTTGGTTAGCTGGTTAGTCAAAGTGAGAGACTTCACCTCTCTTTACCTGTGTGCTGCCAGTGGTCATTATGGTGTAGAGCAGTCATTCTTACCCATGGGGCCGCGGCCCAATCTTGGGCCGTGAGCGCCAACTAGTGGGCCGCATAAAAAATTTCAGTTCTGCGTCTGTGGGCCGCGGCACCACAATGCAGCTTTCTACCACTTGGTGGCAGTGAGGCGTCAGTCAGGTGTTTAACATGCTCCAATAAGCAGAAGAAGAAGAATGAGTCAGTTACAAACTTTTGCAGATGACATGGAGAAGTTTTTAAAACGAAAAAATGAAGATGAAAGTGGTGCCAGCCCCTCTTCAAAGGCGAAATTTGTACGCAAGTACAACCCTGATTTTATAAAGTTTGGCTTTTTAAAAGGAGGCCGTGAGGCAGAGCCCAGTGTGTTGAGTGTGGGCTAACGCTATCCAATGAAGCACCGAAGCCTTCAAAATTAAGGCGGCATCTAGAAACCAAACATCCGAAGCTAGTTGGAAAGCCGGTTGATTATTTCAAGAGAAAGGAAAATGGGCTTCAGAGAAAGGAAAATGGCTCACTGGCGACGCTAAGATCTATCGTGTCACTCACTGGCGACGCTAAATGTGCTTTGAAGGCCAGCTACCTCGTAGTCAGACGTGTAGCACAAAGTAAGAAAGCGTTCACCATAGTGGAGGAATTGGTTCGGCCTGCCGCTGTGGACATGTGCTGTGAGATGATCGGGGAGGCTGCGGCAAAGAAGCTCAAGACCATCCCGCTCTCAAACGACGCAGTGAGTCACCCATGGGCGTTGCTAGACTTGAAGCTTTACTGGGGCACAGGCCCCCCCATACATATATAGATAGATAGATATAGATACAGATACATACATACAGTTGTACATTACACAGTTATACACACAAATAATTAATAAGTACTCCCTCAGAAAAAGTGGTTTAATTTCAAGTAAAGCAAAGTATTTCCCCAAGCTTAAAAGCATCTTGTCCACCAAATCAAAGCAGTTCAGTTGGTTCCCTTTTTGTGCAATAAAGTGTAGCGCCTATTCTTCATTTTGGCAAACCTGTCAATAACTTGACTCTCACTCAGTTTACAAAGTTCTTCCTGCTCAACTGATAAGACAGCAAGATGGTGAAGCCTGTCTTGGCCCATTGTGCACCTCAGCCAAGTGTGGAGTCGTCTCAATGCGCTGAATGACCGTTCACAGCTACACACAGACCTGCAAGTCTGTTAGCTATAGCTCATTTGTCAACAACATTTGTCTTACCTCCCTCAAACTCATCTCTCCTTTCTGCTTCCCTCCCTTTGTCTCGAAAAAACAAGAACTTTCTGATATCCATCTACAGGAGGAATTGGTCATTGTTCAGATAGTATACAGTGCCTTGCGAAAGTATTCGGCCCCCTTGAACTTTGCGACCTTTTGCCACATTTCAGGCTTCAAACATAAAGATATAAAACTGTAATTTTTTGTGAAGAATCAACAACAAGTGGGACACAATCATGAAGTGGAACGAAATTTATTGGATATGTCAAACTTTTTTAACAAATAAAAAAACTGAAAAATTGGGCATGCAAAATTATTCAGCCCCCTTAAGTTAATACTTTGTAGCGCCACCTTTTGCTGCGATTACAGCTGTAAGTCGCTTGGGGTATGTCTCTATCAGTTTTGCACATCGAGAGACGGAAATTTTTGCCCATTCCTCCTTGCAAAACAGCTCGAGCTCAGTGAGATTGGATGGAGAGCGTTTGTGAACAGCAGTTTTCAGTTCTTTCCACAGATTCTCAATTGGATTCAGGTCTGGACTTTGACTTGGCCATTCTAACACCTGGATATGTTTATTTGTGAACCATTCCATTGTAGATTTTGCTTTATGTTTTGGATCATTGTCTTGTTGGAAGACAAATCTCCGTCCCAGTCTCAGGTCTTTTGCAGACTCCATCAGGTTTCCTTCCAGAATGGTCCTGTATTTGGCTCCATCCATCTTCCCATCAATTTTAACCATCTTCCCTGTCCCTGCTGAAGAAAAGCAGGCCCAAACCACGATGCTGCCACCACCATGTTTGACAGTGGGGATGGTGTGTTCAAGGTGATGAGCTGTGTTGCTTTTACGCCAAACATAACGTTTTGCATTGTTGCCAAAAAGTTCGATTTTGGTTTCATCTGACCAGAGCACCTTCTTCCACATGTTTGGTGTGTCTCCCAGGTGGCTTGTGGCAAACTTTAAACGACACTTTTTATGGATATCTTTAAGAAATGGCTTTCTTCTTGCCACTCTTCCATAAAGGCCAGATTTGTGCAGTATACGACTGATTGTTGTCCTATGGACAGAGTCTCCCACCTCAGCTGTAGATCTCTGCAGTTCATCCAGAGTGATCATGGGCCTCTTGGCTGCATCTCTGATCAGTCTTCTCCTTGTATGAGCTGAAAGTTTAGAGGGACGGCCAGGTCTTGGTAGATTTGCAGTGGTCTGATACTCCTTCCATTTCAATATTATCGCTTGCACAGTGCTCCTTGGGATGTTTAAAGCTTGGGAAATCTTTTTGTATCCAAATCCGGCTTTAAACTTCTCCACAACAGTATCTCGGACCTGCCTGGTGTGTTCCTTGTTCTTCATGATGCTCTCTGCGCTTTAAACAGACCTCTGAGACTATCACAGTGCAGGTGCATTTATACGGAGACTTGATTACACACAGGTGGATTCTATTTATCATCATTAGTCATTTAGGTCAACATTGGATCATTCAGAGATCCTCACTGAACTTCTGGAGAGAGTTTGCTGCACTGAAAGTAAAGGGGCTGAATAATTTTGCACGCCCAATTATTCAGTTTTTTATTTGTTAAAAAAGTTTGAAATATCCAATAAATTTCGTTCCACTTCATGATTGTGTCCCACTTGTTGTTGATTCTTCACAAAAAATTACAGTTTTATATCTTTATGTTTGAAGCCTGAAATGTGGCAAAAGGTCGCAAAGTTCAAGGGGGCCGAATACTTTCGCAGGGCACTGTAGCTAGCACCATGGAAACTTTACTTTCACAGCAATTTCATACGTCATCTTACCTGCTCGTCGCACACAAAGTAAGAAAGCGTTCACCATAGCGGAGGAATTGGTTCTGCCTGCTGCTGTGGACATGTGCCGTGAGATGATCGGGGAGGCTGCGCAAAGAAGCTCAAGACCATCCCGCTCTCAAATGACTTGGTGAGTCACCGTATTGCTGACATGGCCTCAGACATTGAGCATCAGCTTCTGGAGAGAATAAAAAAAATAGCAAATTTTTCTCTTTGCAGCTGGACGAGTCGACTGATGTCACAAATACTGCGCTGCTGCTGGTTTTTGTTCGCTACCGCTGAGACAGCTCTTGTTCATTTGTCACAGATTTGGAGAGTAACATCTAGTTCTGCCATGCAAAAATTAAGACGGCTAAATTGTAAAATTCATCAGCAGGTTATAAGGCAATATTTTAATTTGCAGTTTATTTAAATTTTATTTACAGTTTATTTAATTTGAAACTTTTATTTTAAATGTATTTATTTTATTACCACAGAATTTTATTTATCAAAATGTCTCTTCCGTTTTTTGAGAGTATATAAATACTTTTGGAATTCTAATTTGTGTTAATAGGCATGACAACCTCGGTTTAATATAATTGCTAGCCTGTTCAGTGTGAAAATAAATGTCTTTGAGATGATCACATTGTATCATATTTATTTCACAAGGTTTTAGCTTGATAAACCTTAAAAGGATCTACCAACGTGAATCCCAGTCTTTGATGCTACAGTCCTGTGCACCCATCATCCTCGTCAGCCAACTGCTGATGACCCTGGTGCAATTCAAATGTACTGCATCGTTCAATAAGAAAATGTTGTCTCCAAACCCAGCCAGCAATTACGTTGCTGCGACAGCATAACTGAGAAAAAATGTCTAATATAAAAAAAGGAAATAAAAACTACAGTAAACATTTTATGACAAGTGAAGAGAGAATTTACACATGCAAGATCAGAGGTGCTTGAAATTGTGATGATGAACGGAAGATGTAAGGAAACATGGTGAGAATGCTGCTGCACTGACATTTGCTAAAAGCCTGAAAATAAGCCAAGCAAATATGCCACGGATAAAGAAATAAACAGCATAATGTCCTTTTGACATTAATCAAAGCACCAACTCCACATCCTATAGTATAATAATAATAGCACAGTTACTGTAACGTCTGGTTGCCAAAAACCAATAAATTAATTTTTGTCTGCCTCGTTTGCATTGTGAACACACCAGGGGTGTCTCGTTTGCTCACTTTGTTAGTCACCCCTTTTATCCTCTCACTTCCTTAATTTGAACATAATAATCATTTTGCCATATCACTGAAGAGCTACTCACATCAGTGTCGGAAGTCAAAGGGGTTGTAAACAAGTAAATAAAAAATAAACACGAGGACGGCACCGGCAGTGTGCCTTCCCTGAACTGCCAGCATTGAAGCAAGAGCAAGACAGAGTTCAAGATCAGGATACCATCAGCTCTCCAACTACCTCTTCATCCCGCTCCCATTTCCTGAGGTCGTCCTGCTGAGTTTCTCCTTTCAGCCTCATACCTCTCACTGGATCTCAATTATCATCCCTCTCTCCTGTGTGGTCATTAGTAGCTTTTGATCAAGCTGGAGATTTCTACCATTCTGCCTTTTCATTTTCTATCAGCAGGCCAATACAGATGTTTGGACCTACAGTCAAGAAGATCTGAAGAACAATATAAAAGCATGAGGTAATAAACAACAATCAAACACTCAGACTAATCAATATTTAACAGTTAGTGATATTTAGACTAAACACCCCCATCATGGCTAAAATCGCCCCACTCTGACAGTCTGATGCAGCCTGTTTGTCTGCAGAGTTCTAATGTATATTGAGATTAACAAGTGGGTGCTGCAGCCACTTTTAAATATATTCATGTCCGTATTGAATTTAAAAGTCAATCTTGTAATCTTTTGGCACACATGCTGCAGTTTTATTGTTACAGTTCCTTTCAGTAAAACCAATTCATTTAATGTCTCTGATTAAAATGTAACATAACACCATTTGTTTAAACGGTACACTAGTACTCCTACAGCTATTTCATAACAATTAAGATGCGGACACAGTAAATTATATCTTGCGAAGGCCCTAAGTTACTTTAAAAAATAGTAAAGAATGGGTGTGCTAGCCCAAGCCACTGAGGTAGCTGCTCCCCCAGTCTCTGTATTTACTGTAAATAAAACACCCAATCTTCAATGAAAATTAGTTTTAGTGGTTATTAGTGTAATTCATCAGCTGTATCATTCTTTCTACAGCTGAAATCAAACATAGTTGGGATAGACAGCACTATTGCAGAAGTTCCCACAGAAGTGTTGCATCTGTAGGCGGCTTTGCTTTCACTCTTCATCTGGAAAGTCTGGACACTGTGCAGTAGGTTGAAACACTGAAAAGGTCTGACTTCCTTTGTTAATGGCCCTCTAATAATACTAATAATAATAAGGCCTCATTTACTTCCACTACTGCAGAAAAAAATGGAAGTTGACCTATTACGTGATCCCTGAAAAAGGCCTGGTTTACAAAGAATTTACACACATTTTTGGTGACTTTTGTATGTTGTATGTTTTATCTCTGGTGGTTTACATCTTAGCTTTTTTGTACCATTTATGTTTATTCAGTGAATCTGAACTGCTTTAATGGCTGCTCCTAGGCCTGGGCGATATGGCTGAAAAAATTATCACGATAAAATTTTCCATATCAGACGATAACGATAATTATCACGATAACTTTAAATCTTAAAATTGCTTTTAGGTTTAAGGCAGATTTTTGCTCCTGTATAAAATTTGTGAAAACCAGACAGTTAAGCATGTTATTAAACAACTGTTTATTGCCAGAACATGAACACAATTTAAAGTTTTTAAAAAACAAACAAATAACAGCTGGCCATTTGAAAATAAGTCTTGGAAGTTTTGTAAACATTTTGTTTTAGCTGACAGGTGTAAATAAAATGATAAATATAATTCTAGTCAGCCTGACAAAGTATCTATAGAAATGGCTTGAAACATAACTTTTTTATATCTTAGATTACAGTGCAAATAAACTAAATAGACAAAATGTTAATGTGCAAAAAAGACTGATCACAGTGTATATTTTTCAAGTTTTCAACTGTTCAATTACTCTATAGGTTACAAGTAAGAAAGACAAGTCTGTCTACAGTCTCAGGTTTTAGAGCTGCCCTGTGACAGGTCACAATGTTTCCTCCTGTGCTAAAGATCCTCTCAGAGGGAGAGCTGGTGGCAGGGATGCACAAGTACCGCCTTGCTAGTTTGCTCACTCTTGGAAAGGTTTTCTCATGCATCTTCCACCAATCTAGGGGTTCAGTTTCACTGTCTGCATCTGGAGCAATGAGGTAGTTTTCCAGCTCTCTCTCCACGGTCTGCATGTTTGTGAGTCCTGTGTTGCTGGGGCATTGCTTCTTAAAAAAACTGCCCAGTGTCTTTCTCTGCTTTTTGGCAGGTAAAGCTGCAGCAGCTCCCCCCTCTGCCTCTTCTACTTCTGTTTGGTGAGAAGCCTGTGAAGTAGATGGGCCTTGGTCTTCCTCCATGTTCATAATCTCTGACACGGCTCTTGTTTTTACAGCCTCTATGTTGTCTGGCTTTA